TGTTTGCTTGTTTTTTGTTTCTTGTTTTTTTCCAATAAATATTATACTGCTGCTTTTTCCTAGTCTTTTTTTTTAATGTTTATTTATTTTTGAGAAAGAGAGAGGGTGGGGGCATGCATGCAAGCGGGGGGAGAAGCAGAGAGAGGGACAGAGGATCTGAAGTGGGCTCTGCACTGACAGCACTGAGCCCGAAGTGGGGCTCAAACTCATGAACTGTGAGATCATGATGTGAGCCGAAGTCAGATGCTCAACCAACTGAGCCACCCAGGTGCCCCTCTAGTTAGTCTTTATAGGTGGAAACATTAACAATAACCCCCGGTGCCTGGGGGCTCAGTCCGTTAAGCATCTGGCTCTTGGTTTCAGCTCAGGTCATGATCTCATGGTTCTTGAGTTCAAGCCCCATGTTGGGCTCTATGCTGACAGTGGAGAGCCTGCTTGGGATTCTCTATCTCTTCCTCTGTCCCTGCCCCTCCCTCTCTCTCTCAAAATAAAAAATAAACTTAAAAATAAAAACCCAAAAAACAATAGCCCCAACCTCTGGCAAAGAAGTGTAGAGATTTAGACCCTTACCATTCCACACTGGCAATGTGATCGTATTAAGGTGTTAGTGTTCTTGACATTTGTTATAGGCCATTGCCTTTCATTCAGACCTTATGAATTCATTTCCACAGAAAGTGTGTGACTTTATTCTTTAAAAATGTTTTTTTCTTCTAAACTCATATTATAAATTCCATTTTCTCCTGGAGAGATTTTTAGTTCAGATTGAGATAAGAAGCCCAGCTCCAAGCTGTGGAACTTTGGGAAATTTTGTTTTTAATTTTTTAAAGTTTATTTATTTATTTTGAGAAAGAGAGTGAGCAGGGGAGGTGCAGAGAGAGAGAATTCCAAGCAAGCTTCATGCTGATAGCACGGAGCCCGATGAGGGCTTGAATTCATGAACCGTGGGATCATGATCTGAGCTGAAAGCAAGAGTTGGGTGCTTAATTGGCTGAGCCACCCAGGCACCCCGAACTTTGGGCAATTTAATTAACCTAGGTAAGCCTTAGTATCTTCAGGGTTATTTGTAGCAGTGACAAAAAAGTGTCAAACAGGGCCAGGCACATATAAGCCTGCAATACATGAGATGCCATCATTATTCTTACAAGGGTCTCATCAGGCTGACCCTAGAAAGGAGAAGTTCCCTTTCTAGAGGTAGCAAAGAGGGACTCAAAATTTGAGGGACTCAAATTTTGCCATCCCTAATTCAAAAGTATCTGTACTGGCACAAAACAATATTATTGTTTAGCAGGTGTAAGCTAAGACAAGAAAATGAAGAAAAAGACACCAACAGCAATATTTTAGAATGTTATAACCCGCAGGTGGGTACTTCTTTTGAAAGCAGAACATTATGAGAGCATATGAGGTGCAAAAATTTTTCCATAAGTAAGAGGTGCAATTGCTGTTATTATAAAGTAACATTAAAGATATTTTTTGCCTCCACTATAATATATATACATTTTGTTGATGGTAAGGATCAGTGTTGATTTACTCTATAGGCAAGCACCTCAAACAGTAAGTGTGCAATAAATATTTATTAAGTGAACAAAACTATAAGCAAGGCTTAGGAATTATTTTTCTACCAGAGATTCATTAAAAAATGTAAAGGTTGGAATTGACATTCTGAAAGCATAAAAGCCTGACTGGTCAATAGATCCAATCATATCCAGGTAGAGGGAACATAATGTGAAAGAGGAAAAGAAATTCTCTAAATCCTGGGCATCTTTTCCAGATTAGAATGACATTTTAAGAGAAAGAGAAGAAATCTTAAGAAAGGAGCAGAAAGACCAGAGAGACTTTTGAAGAGCATCAAATAATTCAATCAAGTGGTAGGGAAATGACCTTTGCTCTGGCCGCTGGAAACATTAACATGGTTGCCTGCAAGAACTCGGTCTTAAACCACAACATGGTAGTTCTCAGCTTGCTTTACTCATCCTGTTCATCCCCCTGCCTTTCCTTGAACTTTCAGCCTAAGGCTCTCTCTCTGCAGTATTGTTGGCGTGCTCACAATTTGCCTCTGCAGATTACCACAGGTGTTCCCCATGCCCTCACTCACTGTGAAAAAAAGAGAAAAAGACAGTTCTGTCCTGGAGAGCGAATATCTCCCAGAGGGAACCCTTGGAAGCTGGAATCCAATTTCTTGATGTTTCCGAAACTGGAATCTGTTATAACTAGAAAATGCTGGAAGATAATAGGCTCCTGCTGCTAACCAAACACTCAGATAAGACGCACAGAAGAGCCTCGGCCAAGCAGAAACCAGTCTTTTCATAAAACACTGGGCTTCTGAGCACACATTGTACTAATTCCGTGACTAGCAGCTCACCGTCATGGCTCTGTGGTTCTTTTCCCCTTTAAAGGTCTTGATCAGGCCAATTCCTTTCTTCTTTGTGTTTGAGAAATGTGTGATTGAGGCTGCTTCACACTGGAACTTGGGTTTCCATTACCTCTTTGGCATCTCGTACCCATTGTCGGTCCAGTTCTCTCATCTGGTCTTGTGGTTCCAATCAGTGAACCAAGGCGGTGAGAGAAGCATCATGCTTGTGTGCACCTACGTCTTGTTCAAAAGTACCAACCATGACCTTGTCTTCCCATTCTTGAAATCTGTGCTCAGCTGTTTCAAACTTCCTGTGTCCTTGTTAGTAATGGCCAAATAGAAATCACTGAATCTTTCCCGATAATGGTTAGAGGTTGCCAATTTATGGTAATTTGGACATACGTGCCAATGGGAAAGGTACATTATTCAAGTCACTTTGGCTGTAAGTGACAGAAACCGAGTGCAGGCTAGCTTACATTAAAAAAAACCTTGCCAGCTCCTGTAACTGAAGTCAGGCAGAGGTGGATCTGGGTAGCTGAACAGGTGATGATAGGAACCTGTTTCTCTGACTTACCTTCTGTATTGAGTCCAGTCTTTTACCACATGGCTGCAAGATAACTCCAAGCTTACTTGGGCCCAACAACCTAAGATCCTAAAGGAAACACTTAACATTTGTCCCATTAGCCCAGCAGAAGTCCCCCAGTGGACCTTGAAAAGCTTTATGAGTCACATGCCCATCCCTGAGTCAGTAGTTGTAGCCTGAGGTTGGAGTTCTCAGACTAGGTCTGGGCATGTACTTGATCTTGGGGTTGGGAGTTGGGCAGTCAGATAGGAAAGGAAGAGCAGGGAGGATTTTTCTTAAAGGAAAGAATGCAGGGAAGATACAACACCACATGCTCCCAAATGAGTTTTTTCCAAAGATAGTTTGTGTGGAGCAGAAGTGACATCATGTATCAGTGGCACCCTTGGTGCCTCTGTTACTTCCAGAGGCTATAGTAGATATGTGTTGATGGCCCAGCCTGTGACCCAAGCCTCTGTGTCTCAGAGCCCAGAAACTAGCAGCACAAGAGCAATGGGTTGGGTAGGTCATTACCAATCAATTCTTGGACCAAGCAGGACCTGAGATGAAGGGTGGTCTTGTGGAGCACTGATCGGAAGGTGTGGCCATTCCTAACAAATGCAGTCCAGTCCAGAGCACCAAGGACATTCCCAGCTATGGCTTTTGGAGGAGGAGGTAGTGATAGTTGGAGGTTTTGCACATGATTCTAGGTGCAGGCCTTCTAGCTAATGCCTACTTACCCTTCAGATCTCAGCTCAAATACTGCTCCCCAGGGGAGCCTCCTCTGGACTCCACTTGCCAAGAGTAGGCCAGCCCCTCTGGCTATGTGCTGCCATCTAATACCTTGTGTTTTTCCATCACAGCACTTAATGGAGTGATCTTTTAAATAATTTTTTTAATATTTATTTTTGAGAGAGAGAGAGAGGTGAAGCATGAGAGGGGAAGGGGCAGAGAGAGAAGGAGACACGGAATCTGAAGCAGGCTCCAGGCTCTGAGCTGTCAGCACAGAGCCCAACACGGGGCTCGAACTCAAGGACCTCGAGATCATGACCTGAGCCGAAGTCGGACGCTTAGCCGACCAAGCCACCCAGGCGCCCCCTTAATGCAGTGATCCTAGTCACCATATGTAAATCACTCTTATCTGTGATTGCTTGGTTAAGATCTGCCTTCTGCACCAAGAGGTGAGCTCCTTGAGGGTGGGAACTCTGTCAGTTTTGCCTGCCATTGAATACCCAGTACTTGGTCCAGTGCCAACACATTTAATAATCACACAGTGCCTTTTTTTTTTTTTTTTAAGATGAATGAATGATACCTAGTTTCTGGGAATAGCAGCTGATTTTAGTATGAAAATGTAATAAACTGCCTCTTCTTCTTCCTAAACTATCAGATATTTTTGATCTTTTCTGTTAGTTCCTCACTTGGCTGAGGGGATGAGGTGATATTTTAGATAGCTTAGGTGACCAGAAAGAAGCTGAAGACTGGATAATCAGTCCCCAAATAATCAGGAGCCCTCTTTTAATGTATGTGATTTAAATGAAGGAAAAAAAAAAAAAAAGATCTACCAGGAGCATAATGAAGAACCACAGGGACCTGGGAGCTTAGTGTAAGTTCTTGGCAGAAAACCAGGACCTGCTACTCCTGAATATAACTATTAACTGTAGTTTCTTTTTGTAACCTCTAGTTGTGTTGAATGGAAGTAAGTTTAGTGATAAAAATGAATGCCAAATTCCCACCACTTTGTTTAAAACACGTTGGAGGGTAATTTCAAGACTGAAGCATCATGAGCGTGTACGTGTGCCTCACCTCCACCCTCTGTCTTCCCATGTACTGTGAATGATCCTTCAGGATAAGCTGTATGACTTCCCATCAGGCATTAGCATCACCCATTTACATGTCAGCCTCCTCTGGTATGGGCAACTGGAAGGTAGGGATTATTCAATTATTTGGGACAAAAATCCAGATTATTTGATAAAATTTCTATTACTTTTTGAAAGCAAAATTTTTCTGAAGCCTTTTGTTATATATCTTTGAATTAAGAAGAGATATCGCTAGAGAAGCTAATTATGTTTTAAATCTTTTTTTTTTCCCTAGTACAATTTTCGATCTTCATGATGCTATGTTTAATTTGATTTGCCTGGTCCCCCTGGGCATTGCAGTAATTCAGATTCTGGTTTGGAGTCCATTCTCAATGAGGAACAAGACAGACTACACAGGGGCTCTTTAAGGCCAATGCTTGGCTAGCATGGGATTCAAACAAATCTTCAGTTGTTTATTCTTACAGAGATTACATTCTACCAGAAGGCAAAACTGTATTTTATAACCCCTAATTTGTTTAGAAAACAAAACAGATGAAACAAATACAACATGTTTTAGGGTGTTTTGACTACCGTAATAAACTAATAAGAAAGTTAAATATGAGTTCAGGCCTCTCTGTTGGCTGTTTCCAAGTGGTCTTGTGGCCTGGTCGCAACTGTTCTTCTTCACCCTTGAACTGCTATGTGATTTCCTTCAGTTTCCAGAGTCCACCTGATTGTGCATGCCACTTTCCTTCATTTTTATTTTATTATTATTTTTTTAAGTAGGCATCATGCCCAGTGTGGAGCCCAAGGCGGGGACTTTACCTCATGACCCTGAGATCAAGATCTAAGCTGAGATCAAGAGTTAGATGCTTAACTGACTGGGCCGCCCAGTCTCCCCCTACTTCCTTTTATTTTAAGCCTCATACTGATGCTTCAACAGATTATATCAGTGAAGACATCTTTTTTTTTTTTTTTT